TTTATTATGCAATTTGTTTGCCACCCACCTTGTGTCCAAAGACTCGGGGGGGGGGGGGGGGGGGGGGCTTACAACATAAAAACATTTTTAATAATCCACTAAAATTATCAATAACACAACTGATAAAATCATTAAGATGTCAAAAGAGGGAGTTGGATAGATAGGTGGGTAGGCGGGATTAGATTTTAATTAGTCAACCACTTCACGTGAAGTTCCCCCACTGGGTCCCCAAGCCATCTGGCCCAGCCACATCTTAAGCCTTGAAGGATTGGCTCAGGGGGTAAGATGTTCCAAAGGGCTGGAGCCACAGTAGAGAACGCTCTTCTCCTGGATCCCACCAGTTGAAATTCCTTATCTGACGGGATCCACAGGATGCCGCCTGTGGTAGCATGGGTGGAGCAAGTCAATCTCATCGGGCTGAGACTGTTCTTCAAGTAGACTGGATCCAAATATCAACTGGAATTGTATGTATAACCCAAATATTTGCATAGAGTCAAACATGAAACAGAAATCCTACCTTTTTGTAGCAAGTTGATCATTCTTAATAGAAGAAAAACGTTTCTTTCTACTATGATTTTTTTGAGATGGGGTTTTTGGCATCAATTCTGGTTCTCCATCAAAGCTACTCCTTTGACAAAAGAAATAACAATTTAATCATATTTGATAGGTGCCTTTATTAAAAATCCTGTCAATTTTTCCTAGGATATTTGCTGATTACTAATTTTCTGACCTCTAATTGTTCAGGTTCAGTTTTGTTTAGTAAAGGAGGATTGATCATTTTCTTAAAAAAACGACAACACCCAATTCATACTATCATGGTTGAACAATTGAGCCATTTGGAGATCTGTTTCCATGAAGGCTGTTGGTTGGTGTGGTTTAGTGTTAGCACCTTTTTTGAAAATTAGAAGAAGCAAAGGACCAAATATAACTAGGAGTTAGGACAAAGGACTAGGATTAAAACTACCTACTTTTATATATGTTTAAATTGAATATAGATAAAATTATTTCCTGTATTCAATGATTTTCTCCTATTGTTTATAAAGATTTACATTAAGAATTTGAGTTTGAAGAATTTCTGAGAGCTATTATTGTTTGTATGGATAGGTAGGAACCCCCCCCCCAACACACACACACTTTTTTTAGTACCATGTTAGTTCTTACCTCTTAAACATCTTGATAGCTTCTTCGAGAATCTCATCCATCCATACAAAATCTCTATCATGAACATTCTGGATAAATTCTGTGAGCTTTTTATTTGTCTTCTCCTCTAATGCCATAAGATCCGGCATTTTCAATATATTTTAGTTTGCAAACCACAATAAATAACAACTGCTGGATAAAGTCACAAAAAAGCAATATCACCATTTTAACATACTGTAAATTGCATTTTTCAATGTAAAGTTATAAAAAGTAACCTTTTCTCAAATTACAATCATGTTATTGTTTAAAACTTTGAAGGCTTGTTTTATTTTGGTTAATTATATTATATTCGTTCTTTTCCTTGTTCTTCACTATCTGCAATCCCATAGTCTTAGATAAGTGGCCATTTAAATGCTTAAAAATAAATAAACCCTAATAATTGTAAAATACTTACTCATCTTTGATATTATTTTTCCCAAAAAATATCAAGCTGCAGTAACCTTAAAACCAAAATCTGTCTGCAAATACATTCATCGATTTTAAATATACAGTGATACCTTGGTACTGTTAATTCCTTCTGGGATGCATGATGAGCATCAAAAACAATGAATACCAAACAATTCCCCCCCATAAGCAATAACATAGTGAATCACAAGGCAACTAACAACAAACATTGTAGCTTGACAATGACAAGTTCTAGTTTGTGCATTGAGTACCAAACAAACAATGAGTATCAGGATAACATTTTCATGTCAATATGTGTTGAGCACCAAATTTCAAGGCAGTGGAGTACCAAGATACCACTGTAATTTTATAATATTAATATTTAATATTAATTTACTATCTCTCTCTCTCTCTCTCTATCTATCTGTATATATATATACTATACACACAGTATAATTTACTTGGGTTTTCAAAATGCTGTGGAATTGCAACTTCTTAAAACATTAAAACAAATTGACTGCTTCAGCAACAAATGAAATTATTATTTTCATTGGCCAAAAAACAAATATTTTACTTTCCAGAATACATTTTGACAGTGCTCTCTCTTGCTGCACATGAATGGTCTTTCTTTTCCCTCAAGTGTCCCTATCACCTTTCTAAATTGATTGTAACCCCCAAGGATACAACTAAATCTGCAGATCTTGAAAATCTCGGGTATAACTCATTGTTTAATCTTGCTGCCAAAATTGGTTTACAGCAGGACACAAATATAAAGTAAGAAAAGATAAAATTAAGAGACATTAACAATTTACTAATGTGGCATCATTTGCTATATATTACAAATCAGGTGGTTTCCCGATCTATAAACCAAATAATGCAATTTACTACAAACGGCTCAAACAAGAAGATTATCAACAAAAAGCCTAGCCAAACAAAAACCTTCAAAAACAGCACAAGCGAACTTTTTCAATACAATATTTAAAACACAGATTTGAGATTTCAGCAACTACCTAGTTCATCATGCAAGAGGTCCCAATGAAGCAAAATATGACTGAACTGGCTGAGCTGTATGGAACCCTAATCATTAGTAGTTGAAATTTTAAATATAATACTGTGGTGTTCTGCAAGGTATCAATCCAGACAAAAGAAGCTGGCCAAAAACTTAAAAGTGAACCCATCAAAACATCCTTCAGGGCTAATCCCCTCATCAGAAGCAGGTACTTCCTTATATTCTTCTCCACGTCACAGACCATTTGGAAGGAAAGACATTTAGGGTGGAATAAGAGCACCGAGGCTGTATTTGCACAAAACCAACCAAGCTAGATCTAGAGGCGATATTTGCACGTGCAAACTTGGTTCAGTGTAATTTTGGTTATACAGCATGTCTACAATTCAGGTTGGGGTCGCAGTAGCCGTTTACGTGGCTTTTACGAATTTATGGTTCAGCGCATCATGCAAATGCAAAGCGGATTATTTCGTCAACCAAAATTAAACTCACCGTGCAAATCCAGACTTCAGATATCAGCCTCCTTTCAAAACCCGCCCTTCAAGTTTCCTAGCGATATTGGACTACGATTATTATTCCTAACCGAAACCCTGCTGTGAGGGCATAATGTCCCGGAACTGCCCTCCACATTGACCGTTACTCTACTCGCCGCTGAATCCACCGAGAACAAAATGAAACCTTGAACACTATAAAACCCACCAGTCCCCACCGACTGACGACCAAAGAGCCAGACAGACGCCTATCGTCCTTTTTTCATGCAAGCTCGCTCATTCACCGCTCCCACGGAGGGGCAGCCCGTTTCCTCCGGACCGGGCACAAATCCGTGCGAACCGCCAGCCTTCCTTTCTTCTAGCAACGGGCGCGGCAGGAACATCGGCAAAACAGTCCCAAATGTGGCGCACGCTACAAATTTCAAAGACCGTCACACTTGCAGAGGTCCAATCAGAAGCGGAGATTTTAAAGGCGGGGATTGCTATTGGCCGAGTAAGGGGAAAGAACAACGCCCCGGCGCACATCCGCGCGGTTCCGAGGGAGAGGCTTCGCGTCATCTGGAGGAAAAGGAACTGCGACGGCGCCTGCTGGATGCAGAGGGACAAAGCGCGGAATGCAAAGCCAATGGAATCTCATTAATTGCAGTACAAAATCGTTGCAGGAAAGCTGTGCAGTGGCTTCGAGCCAGCCTTGACTCCTGGAGATTGCCTGCATTACTTCCTACAGTTTTCTTGGCAAGATTTAATTCATTAGTCTTCAGTAGCAAAAAAATATATATCAAGATTCACGTACCATCTTTTCCGACTAATAAATCGTATTAAAAGGCAAACCGCCTTTTACTAGGGGGAAAAATAGTATGTGTTACTCGGAAAAGGTACTGTCAGATTTCTGGTTATATACACAATGTGTGTGACATGGTTGTAGCTGATAATGCAGAATTCAAAAAGTTAAGAAATCTTTTAATAGATTTGATTTAAAGATGGTGTTTCTAATTAAGAAACAGAAAAGGCAAAAGCAGAAACAATGAAACTTTTGCACTATGGCTCAAAAAAAGAAGTACTATCCAATAGTCCCAGAGATGCTTTTTCAAGAGGTAACTGGACTTTCTTGTTTTTCTTTGAAGACTTTTCGCTTCTCATCCAAGAATCTTCTTCAGCTGGTGGGGAATGGAAGGATTTTATATTCTTTGCAGACAGTTGGTCATTTGCATTCTTTTAGAGAGTCATTGAGGCCCCTTGGAGGTTTATCTGTGTCCTCAGGATCATCTGAGCAGTGCAAATGGATATGGAGCCTTCTTGGAACTGTTGAAAGGACTGTTGTAGACTGAGATAGATGGGTTGAAGGCTGGTATGGGCTTACCGGAGCCTGCCCAGAGCATCGGGTACCGTTCCGGTACAGTGCTCCGTAGGGCCCACCCGCCTGCCTGTGCTCCTTACCTGTCTTTAAAGCTTTTGGCGCTTCCGCGTATACACATGTACAGTGCCTGTGCAATGCTCCGCCAAGCAGCTGGAGCATTGTGGAGGCTTGCAGACGTGTTGCTTGAAGGTAAGATGCATACGTGCATCGCGCACATTCTTGTGGAGGACGCCGGGCCCTGTTGCAACCGTACTGGTTGCAACAGGATCTGGAACCCACCACTGCGTTGTATCCTTCTCTCCCAGTTGAGAGAGGGCTGTTTGCTGTCTGCAAGGAATGTAAATACCGTATTTTTCGGACTATAAGACGCTCTGGTGTATAAGACACACCAAGATTTCAAAGAGGTAAGTAAGAAAAAAAACGTTTTTGTCTTCCCTGGCCCCCAGGAGCACTCTGCAGACTTCAGCAGGACTGGGGTACGCCCCCGTTTTTCACCAAAACTGGCATTTTTCCCTTTCCCCAGTCCTGGTGAAGCCTGCAGAGTGCTTCTGGGGGATGGGAGAAGGCAAAAACACCCCTGTTTTGGTGGGGGGAAAATTGCCCATTTTTTTGCCCATTTTTCACAAAAATGGGATGTGAGGGTGGGGCTTCAGGAGGCCAAAAATGGCTGTATTCAGTGTATAAGAAACACCAACATTTCCACGCTCTTTTATGGGGGTGGGGGAAGGTGCGTCTTATATTCTGAAAAATATGGTACTTCTATTCCCCACCATCCAGTCAGAGCTGAAGAAACTTCTTGGATGAGGAGCGAAATGTCTTCAAAGAAAAACAAAAAAGTCCAATTGCCTCTTGGAAAAGTACCTTTGGGACAACCATGACCTGGATAACTGAGAATCTCCTTAGGCATTTTGCTATCCATTATAAATCCATTTTGAAATAAGCCTCATGAACACAATGGAAACCACTTCCAAGGTTTTTACCTAGTAAAAACTGGACTTACTTTGCCTACAAGTTCTTTCTTCCTCAACCATGATTGCAGTCAGGCTCTTATGGCCACATCAGGGTTTCCAGCAGTTTTGTGTTTTACATGTGGAGTTTGATCCCCGTTTCAGCCATGTCCTCGCTTTGATTCTTCACTCTTTGTCCTCCTTGACAGAAGAAAGGCTCAGAAGCGCTTTGGGTATAAGGGAAAATTACAGGTAGTCCTTGACTTACAATCATTTGTTTAGTGCCATTCAAAGTTACAACAGCACTGAAAAAGTCACCTATGAGCATTTTTCATGCTTACAACAGTTGCAGCATCCCCATGGTCACTTGCACAAAATTTGGCATTTATTACAGTTGCAGTATCAGGCCATATGACCAATCTTTTGCACCCTTCTGACAAGCTAAGTTAGTGGGGGAGGCCAGATTCACTTAACAATAGTGTTACAAACAACTATGGCAAGAAAGGTCAAAAAACCCGGTGAAACATAACTCTCACTTAGCAACAGAGGTTTTGGGCTCAATTGTGGTTTCAAGTTGAGCACTACCTGTATTGCAAGTTGAATTCAACTTCTGTTGACTCTCGAGCTATTATTCCAGAGGGCTCCTTGGCAACAATAGGAAAGTTAATTTTCCCTGTTTTCAACTACATGTAAAAAAGCACACCTCAGTCTAATTCATTTATAGTCCAGGAATATTATCTTTTTAAAGTTCAACCACGACTTACTGCTGCCACAACCCTTACAATAAGCACCGCCACCCCCAGCTCGTTTTTCAAGCCGTTCTCCCCTAGTTCAGCCCAAGAGAAACCATTTAATGAGACAAAAAAGGAGCGGCAACTCCCTTCTCAAAATAAATCTGCACTTTCCCCATCTAATTGAGAAAGTGCGCAGAGAAAAAGGCGACAGAAACCCACTTTCCCAGAAAGGATAGGGGTGCGAACGAAAACAGGGATCCGGCAAAAGCAAGCGAAGTGCATCTTCTTTTGTTATGTGACGTGGGAGATCAACGCTTCGAAAGGTATCAGCGAGCAGCTTCCTAAAGATATTGTAGAGAGTATAGTCACCAGTTGGAACTCCTTCCTGCGCAGGTTTTATAACATCTGTTGGTTTTTTCTTCCTCCCCCGAAGCCAGCCGTTGTTTTGATCTGACTTCAAAGCCCCTCTAAGTTAGGCGGTCTCCAACCTCGGCAACTTTAATACTTATGGACTTCAACTCCCAGAATTCCTTAGCCAACATGGCTGGCTGAGGAATTCTGGAAGTTGAAGTCCACAAGTCTTAAAAGTTGCCAAAGTTCGAGACCCCCTTGCTCCTAAGGCACCTGACACGAACCCGCGATTCTCTCCCCTCCCCTCTGCGATTGCAGCCTGACCGGATTAATTCAATGACTCTTCTCCCTTTCCTTTCCGCCCTTGGGTTTAAACGTGCAGGGGAGCGGAGTTAGTCGCGGCGCTTTAATTTAGAGTGGGGAAAAAATAAATTCAAGGAAACTATCGGGAGATGAGACGCGGCCGGAGATGGTTTCCAGCAGCGCAGCGAGCGCACGCCCACATTTCTCGGGAGGCGTCTTGTGTGTTTGGCTCAGGTGTTGGCTGTTGTTCAAGTGGGGTATGTTGTTGCAAATGCGTGCTGTCTCTTGCGGAGGAATTGACTCTTGTTGTTATCTGAAACCTGCCTTTATTGTTATTAATGGAAAGGGGAAATATTTATTTATAGGTGGACGGAGCAAAACGAGTTTTTTTAAAAGTTTGTAGGACACATTAGTTACTTTTCACTCAGCTCTCCATTTGGTTCCTCTGTGGTTCTTTCTGTTAAGTTTTTCAGACCAGCTAGAAATTGTTAAGAAAATGAACATGCCCCCCAAACAACTAGCTATAATTTAACTAAGTCTTCTGGGGATGGTTATCTTTAAGTGGGATTGTGGATTTCTTAAAAATGGTGACACTTGTGCTCTCCTATTAAAAAAAATTGTAGTGTTACTACTTACTTTGTAACTTACTAACTGTAGAAATCAAATCAAGATAAGTAAGCAAAAAAGTCAGAAAACAAAAAATCATGTTTGACTTCATTAAAAATCCTGAGAGTGTAGCTGTGTAACTGCACAATCTGAAAACAACATATTTCTTTAACGTTCTGTTGCATTCTGTTTTCTCTTTTCCCTTCATTTTATGCAGCATTATGGCCGAAGCAGGGCAACCCATTCACCTTCTAGATGTTTGCAATCAAAAATTCTCAGAATTCCTGTTCAATGCTGAACATAAGTGCTTGGTGTGGTTGAGAGAAATCGAGGAAGAAGCCATGAAGATATTTGATAGGTATAGAATCTTGAATCTTGCAAAATGGAAAGAGGGTTAAGTTTTTACGCCCAAGGGATGTAAATTGATTTGGGATCATATTTACACAGCAAAGTTTATTGCCTAGGGACTTTTTAAAATGACTTATGGAATCCTAGAGTTCCAGGAAAACAGTTGGGAATTCCGAGAGTGAATAAAGGCAAAATAATAATAAATTACTCAAACCCAGCTATGTTTCTTTCATTAGAGCAGGGATGTCAAACTCAATTTCAGTGAAGGCTGCATCAAGGTTGGGAGGGGGGGTAACCAGGGTGGGCGTGGCTATCTCAACATCACTTATGGCAGGGGTACCTGTGATGGCCCGAGTGCTCTGCCAGCAAAAATGGAGCTCGGGAGGGCTTTTGAGCTCCATTTTCATTGCAGAGAGCTGCAGGAGACTGTTGCAACCGAAAACAGAACTCAGGAGGGCCGCGCCTCCGTTTTCGCTGGCAGAGGCACCATGGGGACAGTCTTCCACTGTTTCAAGGTCCATGGCAGCCCCGTGGGCCAGATCTAAGCACCAGTCAGGCTGGATGAGGCCTGCGAGCCTTGAGTTTGACACCCCTGTATTAGAAATTTATCTTTTGGTCAGTGATTTGGGTATTTTTTTGTAACCAGTAGGATCTGCAACCTGAAAATGTCTGAAAACATGTAGCATAGAGCAGCGTTTCTATTATAGGTAGCCCTTGATTTACAATTACAGTTGTGTCCAAAATTTCTGTTGCTATGTGAGAGAATTATTAAGTGAGTTCAGCCTCATTTTACGACCTTTCTTGCCACAGTTGTTAAGTGAATCACTGCAGTTGTTAAGTTAGTAATACGGTTATTAAATGAATCTGGCTTCCCCACTGACTTTATTTTTCAGAAAGTCGCAAAAAGTGATCATATGAGCCAGGGACACATATATGAGTCAATTGCCAAGTGTCTGAATTTTTGATAAATGACCATGGGGATTCAGCAATAGTTATAAGTGCGAAAAATGGGCATAAATCACTTTTCAGTTCCGTTGTAACTTCGAATGGTGACTAAACGAACTGCTATAAATTGAAAGCTAGCTGTATTCTGCAACTGTATTCTAACTTCCCTCTTCTTGGGAAGGAAAGCAGGCCTTTCTTACACCAGTCACTGGGAGTCAGGCGACATATACATTTAATAATACTGTACTTCCTTTTTCCATCCTCTTCCCAAAAGTTATTAATTGGGAGGAATTTATTAATTAGCCTGTTAATAGATTTCTTTGATATCAATGTAAGGAATAAAAGTTGATCAGATAATAAGTCAAGAATATAGTATAATTCAAGGTCATGAAAGCAGGATACAGACTTTCTTGTATTGCTATTGTTAATTGCAATTCGTAAGATCAATAGCATTTTTAAAATGATTATTATTATTTTGGACCAGTAACAACTTTAGTACCGAACCTGAACTGATGCCCAAAACACCATCTCAGAAGAAGTATCGGAAAAAGAAGCGTTCTTCATTGTTTAAGGATGAAAATAAAGAACTAATTAGAAAAAGGTACAAAAATAGATAACAATATTTAAGCTTTGTATTTTGAAATTGTACCCAAAGGTCTCAGGCTGTCTGGATTTTTCCTGTGCTATAAATTGCTCATGATCTCCAGTCACTCTGTGTATCTGTCCATGTAACAATAACTATTTTTGATGTTTGGCAATATAGATTGATAAACTAATGCAGCTATCAGATTTCACCAAGATCATGTTCTTCTCTGTGCTAGTAATATCTTCCTATATACTACCATAATATAAATTCACTCCCCTTTTCATTTTTCAATTGTCTTTAATCCTCTTTTTCCATATTAGATTGCTTTTAAATGACATTATGTATACTGATAGACTTAGTTGAAATCAACATGGTTAGACAGCTGTTGATGGAGTGCCCTATACTCATTGGTGAATAAAGAAAACTCAATGGAACGTTTTTAAATTTTTCATTTTGCCTAAACAAATTAGCATGGTGGATAGAGTCACCAATGGAACGATCTTCAATATCATTAATGTTGATGTTCATGGTCCTCTAAAATAAATAACTGGGTCTATCAAAATAATGTTCTTTGATTTCTAAAGCAAACAACTTATTTCTTCCTTTGGTTCTTCAACCTTTGATATGATTCCATTAAATGTTTTGATAATATTTACAAATCTTGGCATAACCTTATTAATGTTAGGCCCAGTTATTTATGATTGCAGTACATTTGAACACAAAGTAAAAGTCCTTTACATTCACTTATTTTCAAGGAAATTTCCTCTAAAATAAGCATGCAGTAATTTAATCCTAGCTCTTTTGTATTTTTAAGACACATTTATGTGCTCATGCATTGGTCTAACTGCTCGTAGTAGTTTCTATACCAATTTTAAGATATGTGGCTAGGAGATTCTGAGAGCTAAAGTCCATATATCTTAAAGTTGTCAAGATTGAGAAAAAAATGCTCTATATTTTATTAGACACCTGGTCAATCTAGTAAATACAAAGTGATGTAGGCAATATCGAGAATTATTTTAGTTTACCAGAATAATTTTATTGAAATTGATTTAATTTTTGAATTAATCATTTGTTTCTTTTCAAAGATTATCTAAAGGACATGGCAGTGTAAAGGCTGAATCCTTTCAGAAGCTTTCTCCAAGAAGAGTACTGAATAACCTCAATGTGGGAGATGCAAAATCTTTGCCAGATATTATGATGAACTTTTCTAAGGGAAGTTCAAAAGTACAGTCTGACAAGTTAGCTATGGGTCCAGTAGGGGAACCACTTGTTACTGGCTGCTACAAAAATAGTGGAGTAGAAGAAAAAAGACATAAGGTCATCAATGAAATCCCTGAACTTTTTATTGTGCATTCAGATGACTATTTAGCTGATATTTCAAGAATCTCTGAGATTCCCATTATTTCAGACAGTCCTGCAATGGTAGTTCCATACATCTCAGATCCAATAAAGGCAGGAAAAAATGGGAATGAATCAAGGTTACCAAGTACATCCACTCTAAAAGAATCTTTATATGGAAAACACACATCTGGAGAAGAGATTCCACCCCAAACATTAGTTAATAATAATTTGGATCCAGAAGGAGAACTCTCACAAGACTTGAAAGAAAGTTCTGCTGCCTCCACTGGGTCTTTGTCAGGCCATCGTCATCGAAGTAGACCACACAAAACTCCAAGGCTCTCGCTGGTGGAGAAATATTCGCTCAGCAGTAAAAGAAAAAGCACAATTCGAAAATCTATCAGCAGGACAATAGCCAGGAAGCACGCAGCTCAGGACTCATCATCTGCTTCAAGTCGAGTAAGCTGTAAGTAAAGGCAATTAACCATGTCAATATGCCATTGTACATTGTAGGAGAGTTGATAGGTTCTACTAGTTTTTTCCATAAAAATATTATACCAGGCTTTCAAAAGGGGCATCTTGCAATGCTCAAGACACATTCAGAGTACCTGAAATGTAAAACATTGTTTACATTTCCCACTGAAGTTAACTTGCTGACCTAGAATGCAAGAGATGTGAGTTCGAGTTCTGTCTTAAGCATGAAAGCCAGGTGGGTGACTTTGGGCCAATCACTCTCTCTCTCTCAACCCAACACATCTTATAGGATGGTTGTTATGGGGAAAATAAGAGGTGGAAGGAACATTATGCATGTTCACTGCCTTGAAGTACTTATAAAATTATAAAAGGTGGACTAAACATTAAATAAATGCAAATTTTCATCACTTTTTGTCATGCATGGTAAAACTGTAAATGAGCTCCTAACTAGATCACCTGAGATAGTCTGTTTATTTCACATTTGATATATTCTCTACAGTTCAGAGACCTCAGCATATTTAAGATTGTATCTATTGCAATTTGATAGAATATATTTTGATTTTTTGCAAACTTAGATTAATATCCAGGCTTGCCTCTTTTCTATTTCAAATTTGGTATGGATCTGCAGAGCATTATTTGCTTTTAACTCTATGCAGTTAAACTTAAATCTTGAATTTATTCAGTTAGTTTAAAGTGTTTCTAGCCTTTGTTGGTAACATCCTTTCCGAAAAACTGTATCTTGTCAGCAGAATTTGCATGTTTATATTAAACATTATTACAGGTATTCATAACATACCTTTCATGCAAATCCAAATGAATATAATTTTTGGAATGAATACCCAGCTCTCTTTCCACTGGGGCTTTACTGATCAAAGCTAGGCTAAGAGCCAAGGTGGCGCAGTGGTTAAATGCAGCACTGCAGGCTACTGCTAGATCAGCAGTTCAGCGGTTCAAATCTCACCGGCTCAGGGTTGACTCAGCCTTCCATCCTTCCGAGGTGGGTAAAATGAGGACCCAGATTGTTGGGGGCAATATGCTGACTCTCTGTAAACCGCTTAGAGAGGGCTGAAAGCCCTATGAAGCGGTATATAAGTCTACTGCTATTGCTATTGACAACATAGGTCTATTTTGGTGGATGAATTTAAGCAAAGTGTATTACTATTATTTTTTATTATATTTAAATGTATTTGCCAGTCAATTTTCAGAGTCTCTGAGTGGTTTAAAAATTATTTAAAAGAAAAAAAGAGACAAAAACAACAAATGCTGGAAAGTGCTAGAATTCCTCCTGCATTGGGTTTGCAGTTTCTCTTTTATTGAAAGCAATAATTATATGTATTCCGATAATTAGTACATACTTACTATATTTATTTAGTCTAACTTTTCCATTCTCCAGGCCATAGTTCGACTGAAGTACTTTTGAATGATGAAAACCACAAACATGGGTAAGCAAACTCCTGAAAACCTTTAAAGGATTCTGATAATTTAAACCTTGCTGAAATTCATCTCGAATCAATACACAAGTTTCTGAACTGTACACCTTCAAAATTTAGTTTAGAATTTTTTAAAAATAGTTTGACTTGAATACTTTTGGTTCTACTTACATATTTAAAATTTACACCATCTTAAATTATTCATAATCATGTAGCACTAGTCTTTCTAGATTGTGCTGAAGGATTGTAATCAGATTAGTAGATAAGATTATTTCTGGTAGCAATGCCTATTCCATTTTTCATTTCAGTTGAACATTTTCAAGGAAACTAGAAAAAATTGAGAAATCTTTAATAATTCTATTGAGTAATTACATTCCATTTTTGTATGATGTACACTATACTGCTCACCCATCCACATAATCAGAATCAGTTGTGAGCGAATACTTTTGGCAATATAAACAATGGAGCATTAGACTTTTTTATAATTAGATGTTAGATTGACTGGCAAAATGCTAGAAAATTAAATGATTTATCAATGCAGGAAATAGCATTTGGTGAAAAATTAACATGGCAGCAAAGAATCTGAACAATCCTTTAATTAAAAATTAATAGTCAACTGGTGCTCATTTTTGTTATAAGAAAAATAAAGAGATTTTTTAAATTTCACTTTTGTGTAGATACTAATGTTTTATCACTGAACAGTATAAATAGTCCATGATTATTTATGGATTGCATGTACTGGTTTTAGAAATTTGTTGATTGAGGATGTACTGGTTTTAGAAATGTATTGATTGAGAATTTGTATATATTTGTTATTTGGAGATGACGCCATATTGTTCTTATGTACAACCTAAAAGATTTGTAACAAATGTTATATATAGCATTTCATATGATTATATGATGCATTGAACATGGATCATATTGAACATTAAGATATGGAAGATGAGATAGATAATGGGGAAAATGGAATGAATGATTGCAAGTTATACCTAAAAAATAAAAATCAGAGCAAGTAAATGAATATGTGTATCTTGGTAAGTTTACTAAAGATGCAGAAATGAAAGGAAAAATAGAGTACAAAGATACTTGTAAAATATAACAAATAGTATGTGGATTGTTATGAGGATTGTTTGGGGGGGAAGCAAATTTAAGAGTGCTTCGGCCTACTGTCTTATGTGGAAATGAGAGCTGGGTGTGTTAGAAGAAATGTCACTATAAGTTGGCTGTAGAGGGAATGAGTTGTGTAAGAAATATGAGTGGTAAAATAGAAAGAAGTACTACTACCCTATTTCCCGGAAAATAAGACTCCCTGGGTGATAAGCCCAATTGGGCTTTAGAGCGCATGTGCTAAAATAAACCCTCCCCTGAAAATAAGCCCTCCCTGAAAATATTGCAACACAGCAGCAGCCATGAGGTGACCACACTCACCGTCTCCTGCACCTCAAAAAAAAAAGATCTCCCCAAAAATAAGGCCGTGGTTATTTCGGGGATCAAAAAAAAATAAGGCCCTGTCTTATTTTCAGGGAAACACAGTAGACCAAGAATGGATTGGTGAATGAATGTAGTTTTATTATACAGCAGATGTGAAAAAGAAGCGCTACACATTGATATGGACACTCAGAGAGAATTAAGGATGATTAAATTACAAAAATAATATATGAAGAAACAAATGAATAGTTGAAGAATAGGAAGACACATTCATGATAGAATGGAGTTGGTGAGGTCCTGAAAATATCAGAGCTGGTAATCTGAAAGAAAAACAAGACCTAGTAATGAAATCAGTAATGAACCAGTAATGGAAACAAATATGGCCTATAAATATAGGAAATTGTGGAGAGCACTGTGAATGACTTTGTTGGAAACTAAAAACTAAAATAAAGTTCAGTTGGATTTCCTTTTTTTCCATTTTCTCTCCTACCTTTTTTTTAGTGCATTTGACTTTTCCGTATATTTTGCATAACATTGCTTCTCTGAAAGGAAATAGTGTGGTGGGTATATACACAGATAATCTTGATTCAGCAACCACACTTGATACCAGGAAACAGTTGCGAAGTGAATTTGTGACTATGCTTATGATCTTATTTCAACTTACAGACCTGCAAAGTCATAAATACAAGGAGTAGTTGCAACAGTTGTAACTGTAAATCATCACTAAATGAGGCAGTTGTGTGTGTTTGTGTGTATGCTCGAGCATGCATGTGTTCACACAGACATTTTCACTGTTTTTTTGCATTGTTTTTATGTTGTCTTTAAATAATGTCTGTTGATCACAGTACATTTAAACAAACTAATGAAAACTGGAAAAAATAATGGTTAATATTTGCCCAAATTGTCTCTTTAGGCCTTTGACACAGAACACTGAATTAGGAGAGGTAAGGTCTTGAAGATGTACCTATTTGAGTTTACAAGATGGATTTGCCTTTTGCCTTTAATGCAGTTCTCTGAACTCATAATTCGTAAGATAGCTCTAAAGTTATACAGTTGAAATTACCAGTTAATTATTTAGTCGAGGTTATGAGTGGTTAGTGCTTCAAGTCATCTATTAGAATGCAAGAATTTTAATTCTGTGGAGATGTGAGAATGTCCAAACCTACTGCAATCAATGGATTTAGGTCCATCTAAATGCATAGGATCTGCTGGGACACTATTCAGCATAGCTTTCAACTTCAACACTATAGCTTAATACCCAATATGATTTTGAGAATGCCCTTTTATTTGACACTTATTTCCATTCATATGTGTCTTTTGTGAAATTATTTCGTTTAATGGGCTTTAGCATTGTATAATGGTGAACAATTAAGGGAAGTAACTTGAACCTACTATTTCAAAGTGTGGGGTATTCTTAATCTCTGTTGACCTAGGCAAGGTATTGCTACAAAGTTTTTTTTAAAGCAAGCTATTCCTTTTTATGGATCAGTTTATATATCTGGGCTAAATTGCAGATGATAGTTTTATGGCGTGTCATTTCAATCTCAGTCCATGCAGATACATTCATATTCCTCATAGTCTAGTTTTTCTAGACTGTGGAAAGTTTAGAAGAAGTTTTATTTGATCTTCACATGTAACATACATTCAGATTCCTCTTCCTGGTAAGCAATTTCATGGCTTTGACTGGGTCTCTTTTACTTGATACTAACTGGTAAATTTGCTTTTGTTGAAGATGGAAAATAGAAAATTAACAGAATGTTATGGCATTCCTCTTTTCCTTCCTTGGACAATGTGAGAAATGATTCTTATTGTACTCATATATAAGTAAAGACTCCTTTTACTTACATATAGTGGAGCTGAACATCTGATGAAATATGTTAATGTTGCTTTCTTAGTAACAATGGTTTGCCATTGCCTATTACTGAATTATTTTTTCCATTTCTCACCCCACCCAAACACTGTCCATTTTTTTAAGAACAGTCAGCTAAGAGCTGCCACTTTCAATGACCTACTTATGTAAAATATTACTTATTTAACAAAAATGAAAACTCTTCTTGCATTTGTTCCCATTGATAGTCCGGCCGCTTTAATTTGTTCCATGGTTTTTCTAATCAAGTAGCATCTTGACACATATATTCTTCTTAAAATGAGAGCCCAGAAATGGGAAAATATGGTAAGAGCAATATTCTTCATATCTCTTTATCTAGGAAGTGCAAAAATAATATATATATTTTTTCCTTAGTCTCTGAATAGTCTACAAAAAGAGCCTTGTGCTCTGGATGCACCTAGTCTAGTTGTTAGCACCCCTATGCGCAATCCAACACAATTTGAGAGGCACCAAGACAAGACTTGCAGTAAAGGTAAATAATGTCATGGACAGATAGGAGTTTTCATTAAATGATGTTAAAACCCACAAGCAAATTATTCTGTTTTTCCCTATATAATTGTTATGTGTATGATCTTGTCTAGACTTTTATTTTTAAGTCATAACATAAACAGTTATTATATTTGCTAATATATTTAGCATCTTGTCACTATAATTAAAAGCATTTTATGAAGCAGTTTTGAATCTTGATATAATTTTTCTACTTACATAGTGCTACTAGGAATAAATTCTGTCTACAATATATGCTTTATTTCAACTGAGCTGTTTTTATTAGGCAAAAAGATGGATTTTGTGGCATGACCTCTCTTACTAATTGTGTTTTTCTTGCAGACATACTTGAGACTAACATTGCTGATTCCCACATAAGTAATTCTGAAGATTTAGCCAGGAACAACAGTTTCCATGAACAAATGCAGACTATCCGGTATTCCTTCCTTCCTTCCTTCCTCCCTCCCTCCCTCCCTCCCTCCATAAGTAATGGATTGAAATTTTTAACACTGGCTTTTTTATGACACAAGAATCTTGTGGACAGTTGGACCCATAGCTCATGAAAGTAGAACACTTTATTTTCAGTACTTTTTGGGTACATACTTACATACATCCCCTCTCCTGCCCTCTTTCTATTTGTCTATTTTCCCCAACTTTAAGACTTTTCTAAGATTTTCCACTTTGTCTTTTGAAGGAGAACCGCCAAACCTTTTGGATATGCTGAATAGTAAAAGTCTTAAGTTAACCCTCTAAGCAAGAATACATACACTGTGTAACTGAGAAAACTTAGTATATTCTTTTTTTTCTCAGGAAGCAAAGTTATAGACAAGCAGTGGAGGACCTACCTGCTCCTTCATGCACGGAAGATAAAAATCCTAGTCCTTTCAGTCCTATAACCACATCCATTTCTGCAAAGAAAGTGCTGCCAACGTCCGGTCCATCCAAGGTAGGTAAATGTCATATTAGTATACTCTTGTGTGTTATGCCCAAGCAATAAAAGCATATATATTTTTCTGACAGATAATACGACCTATCAAAAACTTCTTTCAAACCATGCAAAAGAATCAGCTCCTCAAATCTCCTGGGAACAAAGTCCCCAAACGTAGTACTCCCTGTAGAGCTGCCACCAAGGTAAGAGGTTTTTAAATTTAAATTTAGAAATAATAACAATCTCTATATCAGGAACTCCTGCGAAAATTGGTTAGAGAAACCAGATCTTTATGGCAGAGAAAATATTCTGCATGATGGAGTTTAAGTTCAACTCCTGTTTTAGTCATGTTGCAGTCCTTTGTGTTGTGTTGTGTTTTGTGTGTGTGTGTGTGTGTGTGTGTGTGTGTGTGTGTGTGTGAGAGAGAGAGAGAGAGAGAGAGAGAGAGATGAATGAGATGAATATCAGAAAACTAGCTACTAATGATATTAGTAATGATACTAATGTATTATTATAAGACAGTTCTATGCTTAACGAGTTACTGCTCCTTAGAGCACATTCTTCCATCACAGTGAACACATTGATTCTATAAAATAGAAAATGGCACTATAAGAATAGGGGGATGTCTGTTGTGGAGACTAGTAAGAGAAGCTGAATTGGTCAGCTCTGTTTCTCTTCTGCCCCCTTCTCTTCCCCTCCTCCCAGAGAAACCAAGTTGAAATAGACACAAAGTAAATCAGCAAAGGAAATCTCTTGTTTTGCTGACTCTTGACTTACTTGAAATGTATCTGAAATCTCTTCAAAGTAAGGATTGAGGTAATATACAGTACTTTCAATGCTGAGAGTCTTTGCCTGCTATGTGTAGAGGATAATGTAGGTATTTATCCTGAGCCTGCTGCCATATTACATTTTTCTACAGTCTTTTGCTTCACCAATATAGATAGGGCTGTTATTCAATCACATTGATAAATGAAATAGTCATTAGGCATTTACGTTGCTGGAACTTGATTTATATTTTCTTTCCATGTCCGTTCTACAAAGGGGGAGTTTGTCGTAAGTAACTATCTTCCTTATTTTCTAGATTGTCATCCTAGTGCTTCAAATTGTTTCAAAACATTTAACTGCCCAACACCACTGTTCACTCTTATTTGGGAGATGGGTCATTCTGCACATGCTGGTGTTTCATATTTGCACTGCCACATTTCCTTGGTGTGTTTTAATCTGGATAGAAAAGATGAAAGAGAAAAATGTTGGCAATTGGGCAGCAAATGGTCACAGAAACTTCAGTTAATGTAAACCTTCCATAACATCTTAGGAAAAGGAGCGCCAACGTCTGGAGAGTCTTCGAAAAAAACAAGAAGCAGAGGAACAGAGAAAGCAGAAAGTGGAGGAAGAAAAGAGACGTCGGTTGGAAGAGATAAAACTGTTAAGTACCTGTTGATACCCTGATGCAAATAAGGGATTACACGGACAAATTTCTTTTAGCGATATTATTGTTGTGTAATGCAACTTTTGTAGAATGTGGAAACTACAGAAACAGATACATGTTTATAAAAATAATAGCAAAATTACTTATTTTGTATTGTGAGCAATACAAAGGACCTTCCTCAGAATAAATGCCATGCTTTCTATATATTAACCAGAAAGCGTGAAGAGCGACTGCGAAAGGTATTGCAAGTTCGAGAACGAGTAGAGCAGTTGGAGGAAAAAAGAAAAAAGAAAATGGAACAGAAATTTTCTCAGCTTGATGAAAGAAATGACAAGGTAAAAAAATGATCTGACCACAGACTATCTCCAAGACTATGTTCGCATATTAACAGTTGTCTTTTAGTATGGAATGTTCAAATATCAGTTTAAACCAAAAAACTAATAAAGAAGCAGCTGGTAAAATTTGAGGGATTGTTCCACTTATGCTGTGCTTGAATGCATCCACTGGATTGGATCCCAACGTTTGTTGGGATAATCATTTCCAATTTCAGTTTGCTATTACTGCTAAGATGTTTTTCTAATATTCATAATTTGTTTCCTATAATTTAAATCCATTATTTTACATTCTGCATTGATAGAAAACAAATCATGACTTGTGACTCCTTTGCTCCCAAGAAAACCACATGGGAGTATCCATAAAATGACCTAGAGTTGAAGGAGACTTTTAGCTTTTAATGCTCTTTTAGTCCTAAATCTATATTTATTATAGCAATAACACGTAGACTTATATATTGCCTCATAGTGCTTTACAGCACTCTATGGGTGGTTTACATATTCAGCATTTTGCCCCCAACAATCTGGGTCTTCATTTTATCAATCTCAGAAGGATGGAAAGTTGAGTCAACCTTGCACCTAATAGGTTCAACTTCCAGGCTATTTGCCTGCAATACTGTATTCCAACCACTGTGCCACCAGGACTTGTTATATGTAATGTATTTCACCAGTCTTTAGTACAAAATAAAGTAGATATAATTTTGACAAGTTCTTTGCATAGATGCGAGAGGAGAAATCAACAGAAGAAAAGGCAAAGAAAAAAATATCTATAAAGAAAATCGAAGCAGAAGCCCAAAAATCAAAACTGTCACAAATGGTAAGCACTATATTGACTTTCCAGTAAAATGGAATTATAGAGAAGGAGGCTCTATATGCTATAGCTAGAATAGGAAAACTACAAAGAGACTTCAATCATGATTTAAGAAATAATATTTTTTTATTTCTTTATGATCAAAAATATGAAAGCCTCATAAATTGTTTATTTGCTGCTGGCTTGCTGTTAAACAATATCCAAATGGGTTGAAGGATGAACAGACTGTATAAATTAGTGTAAACATTGTTAGTGTAGCTTTTTTTAAATTCAGTAGAATTGCTTTGTATCTTACATTCATGGGCCCAAGCATTTCCATGTCTTTGGAAATATGATAAATGTAGAATTTTCTAATTGAAAAACTACTTTCTTTGTGTCTTGAGGAATATTATAATATTCTATTCTTGATCTGACAATATATATTGGCAAGATTTGAAAAATAGTAGCTGCACCATCTCATTTCTAAAATTTGTTTTTAACATATTTCTGCAACAAAAACTGTTTTATATATATTTTATATAAATATGTGAGCGTAGGCTTCTCATCAATATAGTACTGTAAGTGTTCTTGTTTTTCCATATATATTTCCATGTGTGTTTGTGCATGTGCGTATGTGCATTGTGTATATGTATATATATACATACACACACACACACACACACACACACACACACACACACACACCGCACATGCACAAACACACACGGAAATATATATGGAAAAACAAGAACACTTACAGTACTATATATATATGCATGTATGAAAGACATTGATTTTCTATGCTTGTTTCAGGAAGAAGGGCCAGAACTTCAAGAACGCCCAGAAAAATGGAGAACAATTGGGGAGATTAAGAAAATGCTGGAAATCAATAGTACAAGGCAGGAAAAGGGGTGATAATTTTGTTTCCTTAATGCTGTAAGCTGCCAGGAGTTGTTTCAATACAAGTTGGGTAGCAAAATTAATAAATAAGTAAATAAATGAATAAATAAATTTCTGAAGGTTGAAACTTTGGGTAAGTCAAAATTGAAGTAATTACAGGAGAGACAAGATCAAAATTGAAAATGATGAACCAAATAATCAACTCCCAAATGGTGTATTTTCTTTGAAGGTAACAGGAAAGCTATTCACATTTGGGGAAAGTTTGCATTCCTAGTCCATTTTTTGGGGCCAGGGTTTCACAGTAATCCCAGGGGAACTTGCTCCCAAGCAATCAGTGCATTACAAGTATTTGTGTATTAACTCAGCTTTGTTTTTAGGCACCAAAGGCATCAAGATAAAGAGAAGCTAGTGAAAGTTCAGGAACTCACTGTAGTTAAGGAAGAGGAAGAAAATGTAAAGGTATGACTTATTAAAGAGCTAATATTGGCAGGGGGAAAATAAGATCAAGCAAGCTTTTTCCAGCAAATAATATTTTCAGCGGCATTTCCAAAATGTATGTCTTCCGCTTCTCGCTGCCGCTTTGTTTCTGTCTGAAAGGATTGACGCGTTTGCAGGTCATTATTCTAAATTTTTAAGGGAGACAATAGATTGTTAATCATACATTTCCTAATGTGATTTATGGAAACTGAAATTATATATACCTAAAGCAAATTATACAACTGTAGTTGGTTTTGCCCTAGGACTAGGAAAAAGGTAGTGGTTATAACTCTAGTCTTTCTTGGCATACAAACAATAATTATGATGGAAGGGGGCAAATGTTGGATTTCACTCTGTGTTTCTTCAGTCAGGTAGCAATTAAAACAAAAAATAAAAATAAAAAAAATCTGAGGACTTATTAATGGATCACTTTAATGGAGATCTAAGAAGAAAATGGTTCTAAAGAATAAATAGATTGGCATGTTAGGCTTTGTGTGAAACTGCTACTGTAAAATGATTACATTGGTTGGCCTGGTAATTAAGATTCTTCTCTGGTTAATAGGAACAAAAGAATCCTGCCTCACTGGCTCAGCTGCAACAAGACAAGACAGCTGTGCAGGTGGAAAATGTCCCTGCTGCATGTGGCTGGCTGAATATAACTGCTCAGGTGAGTAGGAACTATTTTGCCGCCTTCTCCTGCAAGATGAGAAATGATTGAGGCCTACAGTCAGTTATTTAGGTCTTCCCCCATTTGCAAATTGCTGTGGCAGAAATATGATTTTACATTCTCTTTATCTCTTCCTGATATGTTCCCACAATATAGCCTTTAACTTATCCTCAATCCATGAAAAAGATTGACCTGGGTACAATACTCATAAGTGACTTGGTGATGAAGTCACTTTATTCAAGCATTGCCTAAAGTAGGGCTGTCAAACTCCTGGCCTATGTGCTGGATGCGTCACACACTGGCCATGCCCACGCCCAATTTAACGAAGGGGAAAAAACTACCGATATGTCACACAATGCTGCCATGATGACATGAGTTTGACACCCCTGGCCTAAAAGAACCTTCAAGGCATATTGAATCTATTAGGCTTTGCCACTACTGTGACTACTTGAAAGGAAATTAGATGGCTGCAACAACTTGAGACAGAATAACAAGAGTTTGAAGGGATTTTGGAGGTCTTCTAGTCCAACCCCCTGCTCAAGCAGGAGACCCTCTACCAGTGATGGCTAACCTTTTCTGGACTGAGTTCCCAAACTGTGCAATCAGAACCCCAAAATACGTCCATGTGTCCCCCATGCATGCACACATACCCCATGCATGCACACATACCCCATGCATGCGCCCCACCCCTACGCATGCATGTGCGGTCACCGCACATGCCCTGCCCACGTATGCATATCCACACCCTGCACATGCCTCATCCCCTGCACATGCATGCATGCCCCCCCCACAACCCCTCACCTCCCATGCAAACGTGGCAGAGATCTGAACCAGCTGGCCGGCAGGAGGCACCCTTGCATCTGTGGTGGAGTTGAACTGGAGCAACGGTTCGCATGCCCACAGAGAGGGCACTGTGTGCCACCTCTGGCACACGTACCATAGGTTCGCCGTCACGGCCCTATACTATTTCAGACAAATGGATGTCCAGTCTCTTCTTGAAAACTTCCAGTGATGGAACCCCCATAACTTCTGAAGGCATAGGAGAAGGTATTTTAACTCTCTTCTTGCCAACCAAGTTTACCAAATTTTGCTGTAGGAGAGAGCAAGAGCCTAAGGGTGGAGTCAAGAGAGGAATCAGCCTGGAGTTGTTATGTTCCCAAGATTAAGGCATGAAGATTCAAGACCATACTTTAGGGTCCAGATATGCTGATTTAATGCTCATATCTATAAACAAGAATCTAGTCAACTAACCGTCAGCACTAAATTTGTGCTAGATAAGAGTTAATGAATTCAAGAGCAGTTGGACCTCAACCACTTGTGGGAATGGAATGACTCTAGGCTGATTCCTCCCCTGACTCCACCTCCAGGTTCTATGTGTTGTTCTCCTATATCTGGTGCCTCTTTACCCTCTGGGATGCAGATTGGGAATCCAGGCTACATTCTAGGAACAAAATTGAATCGGAATCAGTTCTACTGGTTAAGTGTTCTCACTATTAAAAAGTTTCTCCTTAATTCCAGATTGCTTCTCTCCTTTATTAGTTTCCATCCATTGTTTCTTGTCTTGCCTTCT